TCACAGTGCCAGGAGCTCGGAGTGCAGGCAGCATTTTCAGCAGCACAAACAGGATTCAGGTTCCTTCATCTTCCAAATAAGAGTTAAACCCTAACTAGGTGTGTAACATTTTCTATTATAGCTAATAAACTATAAATCAGGGCTTCAAAATAATGAAAAGAAAATTACAATTTTTATTAATAACTGAACCATACTGAGGGAAATACAAAGTGTTGAGAGCTTAGTCAAGGGTGAATCAACACTCTCTCTGACTCCACCCCACTAGCCCAACTGGTTTAAAAAATAATAATGTTATTATTCAGCTATTTAACATGGTTGTAAAAGTCAAAGTCAAGAGGAAAAGAAGATCAACACGTTTTCAGGCATGAAGAATACTTACTTTAAAGACAGGTTTTCCAGTGTTTCTTACTATATTTTTAGCTATAAAATTGTACATATTCAAAACTAACGCTTTAAAAAAGAATTTTATGGAAAAGAAACCTAATGTATAAGCAAAATTCTAAGTGATTTGGCTTACTTTCAAAATCCCTTTTATTTGGGGGAAGAAAGTCACTTTATAAAAACTTCCCCATATACAAAATGGTTTCATAACATTTTTACTAATGAAATAAAAAATAAAGTATGAAAACTGCCACAACTAAATAAAACACCATAATTTGCTATAATATTGGGTCGCCGAGAAAGTCATAATGTATTTTTCTGTTTTTCAATGCAATAATGTGTCATGACTTTCCCGACGACCCAACAGAATATCAAATAGGTATCCTTTGACTTAATATTTAGAGGAATTTAGAAAATTAAAATATTGAAAATTTTACTAAAGTTCTTTACTCCTCAAACCCATACTTCCTCCCCATGGCAATAAGGCTGGCATTTCCTTAGAGTAAAATGGTGACATGGTGACTAGAAAAGACACAACTGGATATATGTCCTTCTAACATACATTCTACATATGCATTTGAAAATACAAAGGAAAAGGCACCTTAGATAAAAGCATTTGATCACACAGTAAATCTGCCAGTGATGACAAATGTTTAATCTAGGCTGCACCTGAGCAGTAATTCTGACCCTAAACGAAATGATCAATTAGGATTATCTTCAACCTTCACTTCAACTCCTCGGACCGTCTCTCCCATATTCCCAAACATATTGTAAGCAAAGGATCTAGAACACATTCACAGAAAAAAACATAAATCTCCCATAACTGTCAAAAATAGCAGTCCCAAGGATATTTGCATTTTGACAGTTTCCAATGCCTTAGGCTAAAGGAACAAAGCTTGAACCAGAATTTTAAAGGTTAGCCTTAGGATGAAAAAGTAATTTCCCCTAATATGATATTTCATAGGCTAGCCCAAACTTAAGAAACAGAATTAAGTGACAGTCTGTCCGGGATGAGTTTTAAAATTTTCTATTTGAAAACCAAATCAAGCTAGGTTCTTGGTTTTTAAGAGCCACAGAAGGTTTCCTTGTTGGTGGCAAGAGCAGCCAAGCAGGTAAGGATTTTTAATCTTGTTGCAAATAGAGGAGAGAATGGGCTTGGGGGATGGGAGGCTGGAGGAGACAGGATGAGACCTAAAAGGATGCGGGAAGCTATACAGAAAATAGAGGCTCTAAGGCAGCGGTTCTCAACCTGTGGGTCGCAACCCCTTTGGGGGTAGAACGATCCCTTCACAGGGTCGCCTAAGACCATCGGAAAACAAAAAGATATTTACATTACGATTCATAACAGGAGCAAAATTACAGTCATAGAGTAGCAACGAAAATAATTTTATGGTTGGGGGTCACCACAACATGAGGAACTGTATTAAGGGGTCGCGGCATTAGGAAGGTTGAGAACTGCTGCTCTAAGGACTGGTAATTCTTCTCACCACACAACCCTTGAGGATCAGATTATAGGTGACTCATTTTAAAATGGATAAACATCTCTTTTACCGTCATACCTATTTCGATGCATTCTTCTAAACTAAGAGTCTAAAGATAGAGAAAGCCTTGACATGGGCAAACTTCAGGGCACTACCCGCCTCCAACAATCAAAGCCATTTAAAACATGAAAGAAATAACAGTAAGGACAAAATAGTAAATTATGAAGAGAACATGTCTGTGGTTCTAAATATATATTCCCAGGTAAGTATAGCTTATAGGTATCTTGATTTTAGGACAAAAATTATCTTAATTCTCTTCAGAAAGATTCTATAAAAAGAATCAAGAAAATGAAGAAAAATCTAGTCCCCTTATATCAGTTCCTGGGAGGTGATGGGGGGAGGACATAGGACCAACGGGGTAAAACTGAGTTTCTCTTCAAAGGAAACTTTTCTCTGTTAAGGGGCCACAGGGACTGGTTTTCCCTGGTTCCTCTCAATTCCTCATCTTCTAAACATATTCTCTATAACATGAGAACTCCAGCCTTTGCTTCAGCCCCTTCTGCCTGTTCCCAAACCCGTAAGAAGGCTGGTGGCAGAGCAAGAAAAACTCAAAAAGGCCAAAAGACATTGCTCTGCTTCTAGTCCCATTCAGCATTGCTAGTAATTTCACATGTGTACTCTGGGCTCACAGAGACCTGAGCTGGAATCTTGGATCCACCATACACTACATCATATAAATTTAGCAGTTTCATGAGTTCTGTGTGTTTCCTACTACTTCCTCCTCTAAAAAATGGTAATGGCAATGGCTCCTACCTTTCAAGATTAACGTGAGGAGTACATTAGATATTTAACAAAACCTTTAGCATAATACCTGATCTTCAAGATATTTAACAAACCATTTAGCACAATACCTGATCTTCAAGATATTTAACAAAGCAGTTAACAAAGGCCTAGCACAGTTGTTTGCCCAGTGAGATTACAGGATTGTGACCAGAATTTACTAGAACAGAATAGAAAATAGCAGAGTGCATGCAGTAAGGGCAAGTATTGTTTCAAAAATGTTTTGTCGTCCCCGCTCTCCCCATTCCCCATTCTCTCTCTCTGTCTCTCTCTCTCTCAACTGAGCCTCCTGCAGTTTTTCTGTATTGCCTCTCCTATGTGACCTTTAACAGGTAGCACATCTGGCTCTTCCTCAGGGCACAAGAGAATTTAGTATAAAATTCTACAATACTTACTACACTGAGCTTGTTTATGTGTGTGTCTCTACAATTAGAATATAAACTCTAAGAACTGCCTTGTATTACCTCTGTAGTTCTGATACTAATCTGATCTAAAAAATCCTGAAGGTTCAGTAAATTTGTTGAATGAATGAGTAAATCATCAAAATTAATAGGTATTAAAAACATACAAAAATAGTTAACCATTTCATTTATCATTATATGATCAAGTTTTATTATTGTATAAAATTTAGCTATAAGTCACAATAACATTTTTTAAAAAGTTGTTCTTTTTTCCTAACGTGCCTAGCATACTTCCCTTCCATCTGGAAGTGAATAATGTTTACTTAAGAAACTGAAATGTGTGGTGTGCATAATGATCTTTGAAAAGTAGAACATCAAAGTGTATAGATATGCTGCACAATTAAAGTTTTATTTAAGGAGATCAGCCACATTCATGGTTCCTTGTTAGGGGCAAAGAAAGTTGAGTTATTAGGCAGAAAAGGTTGCTTCTTCTACATGACAACTGTCCAAGGATCCCCTTTCATGGGTACTGCACATACCATGACAACACATCTAAGTAACAACACTGGGCAGGTACTTGCTTGAGTACTCAATATAGAGGAGAACTTCAATGTTTTTAATATTCCTATTCTCATGTTATCACCATCATTCTCAATTCTATTTAAAAGTAAGAATCAAAGTTATAACAAATTCACCAACTCTGCTTGTATAATATCACAAAAGGGCAAAACACTGAAAATAAATTCTAAAGAAATACTTCACCGTGCTTGGAGATATGGAAAGTTGACCATCTACTAAATCAAGGTTACACATAAAACTTGGTTTTACATTAGTCAAAAAATAAAATAAAATATTTGCTGGAAAATGAGACTTAACTTTTTAAGGTATGGGTTCCTTTATAGTGATCTTCTGAAATATTTGTCTCTAATTCATTAATAACTTCACTGAAAAACTGGAAGTTTCCAGCTAATCAGGATTATAACTCTCTTGATATAGTAGGCAATATACATGAAATAGTAAGAAAAACAGTGGTATTGCCACCTTGGGGCTCAGGCATTTTGTTCCCCTTCCCCAGAGTAATTAATGAAAATGATAATTTACCTACTGTAAACTTGTTAAACATCGAAAGAAACAGCTATTTCACAAAAACTTCCTTTAGTCATTTTAAACATATTATTATAAAACTCTATTTCAAAGTAATTTATTGGGCAAGTCTTAACAGTTGACACTGATTTACTGAAGGAAGAAAAAAGACAGGCTGTGATATACACTTTTTAAAAAATATTTATTTTTTTCATTTACAGTCGACATTCAATATTATTTTATATTAGCATAGCGGTTAGACATTTATATAATTTATGCAGTGATCCCCCAATTAGTCTAGTACCCACCTGGCACTGCACTATACATAGTTATTACAATATTATTGACTATATTCTCTATGCTATACTTTACATCCCCGTGACTATTTTGTAACTACCAATTTGTACTTCTTAATCCCTTCACCTTTTTCACCCATCTCCCCAACTCACCCTCTCTGGCAACCATCAGTTTGTTCTCTGTGTCTATGAGTCTGTTTGTTTTGTTTGTTCATTTATTTTCTTTAGGTTCCACATATAAGTGAGCTCATATGGTATTTATCTTTCTCTGTCTGACTTATTTCACTTAGCATAATACCCTCTAGGTCCATCCATGTTTTTACAAATGGTAAGATTTTATTCATTTTTATGGCCGAGTAATAATCTGTTGTGTAAATGTACCACATACTCTTTGCAATACATACTCTTAAGAAACAAAACTAATGAAAGTGGCAATAAGTTGATGCTACTCATTAAAAATTCTTCTCTATATTTGAAACGGTAATTTTAATGACCCCAATGAGGGTGGAAACACTCACCAGTATGAATCTTCTCATGTCTCTGTAGAAGGTACTTCTGTATGAAACGCATGTCACATTGACTACACTGAAATGGTTTTTCGCCTTAAAATAATTTCACATCCACAAATTAGTTACTGGATAAAACACAGTTTATAGTTACTATTTCTAAAGAAAGATAAATCTTAGAAGCCCAAATTATCCATACAAATTTTTAAAACTGTTCATTAATGTAACAGAATTTTACTTCCTCTCAATTTTCCCCCAACATTTTATTTTTTATTTTTATTTTTCCCCACATTTTAAAATTCGCATTCTCACAATTAGACAAAAATGAGACTAAATCTGATGTATAGCCTTCAAGAGAAAAAAAGGGGTAATAAATAAAACAATTTAAAATAGAACCTAAAAATCACGAGGACAGAAGGGACTCTACAGGTTACCTAGTGTGTCTTAAATATCTTTTCTTCCTTTTTATTTGGAGGAAGATCCACCCACCTTGTTCTCCATGACTAACCATCACTTTTATACCCTTTCACTTATTTTCTCCAGAACCTTCAGAACTTTCTAAACATCCTTTAAAAAAAAAAAATCTTATATCTTTAAATGTTCCCTCTCTGCTAGAGCCCTTGCTTTTAAGGAAAGTATTCTTTGGTCTGTTCTATGCAAAGAAACTTTCCAGAAGTCCTGAAACATGCCTACCTTATTACTTTCTCACCTTCCTTTTTACCACACCTTAAGAGTAGTCTATCCTACATCTCAAACTCATCACCACTACTTGTGCTTTAACCCTTATACTCTACTTTTTCAAAAACTACTTGTAATCTTCTTGCTATTTATTCTAATGGTTTTGTTTTCAGTTCTCTATCCTCTCTGGGGGTTGTGCCACTGTTGATCATACCCTCCTTGGTATTCTCTCTTCTTCTGGCTTCTGGGACAACTGTATTTTCCTAGTTCATTAAACCTACCTTATAGATCTGTCTCCCGCCCCACCCCTTTCATTGAACCTACATGTCTAGTCTGTTCCCCAAAGATCAGTGATCCGTCTTTAGTTCTGCTCTCTACTTCATGTTAATTATCACTTTTTGTATTCGATTCCCAAATTCATATTTCAAACTCCCTCTGAACATCGTGCATAGAAAAGTAAATATTGACAGGCTTTTAATAGTACATTCTTTACTGCTTCTCTAGCTAAAAAGAATACATTAAGCCAAATAAGTGTCCAATTAATTTTGCACACCCATGCTAATTGTTTTCTCATTTAAAGTTTTTCCTGGTTTCCTTCTGGCCTATGAAATCTTTGATTTGAAATGACAGGTTAGCTATGGTCTTAGGAATGAATGACATTTACACAAAAATGAAAATAGCAAAGATAATTTTAATGCCCATAAGCCCATTTTAATTTAAGAAATACCTGTATGAATGAAGACATGTCTCTGTAAGTGATAGTTCGTTCTAAAGGCAGCATTGCAGTGCTCACAAACGTGAGATTTTGGGGTTTTCAAACCAAGTGATCCATCCTCATTTATTGTAAGGATCTAGTTTTTTAAAAAAGGCAAAAACAAGAGAAGTTTTAAAAACATAATACTAATTTATTTATATAAAAAAGATAATGCCTTTTAATGCAAACAATGGTCACCAGAGATTACGAAATATTTTTTTTCCTAAATAACTTTGAAAAGGCTATTAAAATACTGTATCATTAATTATAGAAAAGTACAGTGTGACTGAGAATGAGAGAAGATCACTAGTAAAACCTTGGAAGCTGGTTAAGTAAGATCTTAGCACTCTGCCCCTTCTCTCCACAGCTGATGTCTAACAGAGGTCCAAAGTGTTCTCTGCTAGGGCAAATATAACTTTATTTTTGAATTCAGATTCTCACATACTCAGGACAAAAATCTTATGTTTTAGGCGTGGCATAAATATTAATCAATATATGACTGGTTAAATAAATTATGAAAAATGAATACAATTAACATCATGTGGTTGCAAAGTAAAATGAGAAAGCTCTATATGTACTTAGATAGAAAGAACGCCAGGATTTATTAAGTAAAAAAAGCAAGGTTTAGAATCCAGTATACAATTCTTCTAATTTTTTATACGAGAGTACATACAGGTATATGTATTTGTTTGTATATACATAAAAACTATTTAAGAAGGATGTATCTAAAATGTATATAACCTCAGTTGTGATGGCTGGGGAACTTGGCAGACAGGAGATAAGGTGGAAGTGACACTTCACATTGTATATACCTAAATAACTTTTCTAAACCTTATAAATGTTTACCTACTACATATCCTTTTTTCTTTCTTTTCTTTTTTTTTAAAGACGAGAAAACTAAGTTTTCAAGTCATCCTACAGCAGAATTTGGAATCTGGTTCAGTCCAGATTCTAAGGTTACTCTAGGACTACTAAACTACTATTATTAAGCATATTCCTAAAAATACTTGTTGGATAAGCAAATTAGAGTGGGTACAGGGAAGGAAGATCGGTAACAAAGAAATCAATCTTATCATCCTAGGCTTCATGAGGTTGAGAGTATTGTGGGCCTAGTCTGGACAACACTGGAGAAAAGCCACATTTGGGCTTCACGTATTCCGATTTATCAACCATTTGTTCAACATACAACATTAAACTGCCTCTTTCATCACACTTATGGCAGAGTGATAACAATAATGATCTCTTTTTTCATTATTGAGAAGATGGAAGAACATGATATGAAGATAAGAAGCAAATAAAAAAGGAGATAAGATCAGGAGGACCATTGCGAGTGAGAGACAAACAATATTGGAGGTGGGGACACACAGAATGGGAGCTAAGAAACTGTCCCACACAGGGTAGAGCAATCTAGGAAACAAGAAATACAAAGGCCTGTGGAAACTGATTAGGGTCTGTAAATACACAGCTATGATTTCTTCTCAAACCTAGAAAAGAGTAGGTTAAAAAAAAAAAAGGCTTTAATTTTTTAAAATATATTTTTACTTTAAATTTAGGAAAACAACTCAGCCTATACTATATGTAAATCGATGGTGATTATTATGCAAATTATACAGGGCTTTTGGTTCTGGGCAAACTGCCAATGTGGCCAACAATGCTTCAAAGTCTATCTACCAAAGTTATAGAGGGAAACATTTGGCAGGAGAATGGAAGTGGGTGTCACAGCTTCCTGAAGAGTCAGTGAGAATGGAAAGTTTCATCTCTGGCCAATCAGTTTAAAATTTTTTCAATCCCTCCAAGTCACAAAATAATATGCAAGCTAACACTGTGCGAAACAAAAAAAAAACACAGAATCTTTTAAAATATGATTTAAAGTATTTCTAACAAAAAAATAACAAACAGATATTAAACATTTTATATGGAACAGAACTAAAAACAAGATAGTACCAGATTATTTTTCCACATGTTGATAAATGAGAAGATCCATGTGCCAAAAAACATGGCAGCTCAATAGCTTTCTGTGGCATAGCAACTGCAAGGAAAGGCTTTCGCAATGAACAAATCTGGCCTAAATTGCTTAATGTGAAACGGATGTAATCCTTGACTGTACAAAGCCCTCTTATGAACAGTTAAGGAGTTCTAGGTCATTGTTTTCTGCCACTGGAGGTAATGCTGCCTTTCATTGTGAATTCAAACCTTAATTCAAAGTAGATTTTAGGGATGAAACAGCGAACACTGGCTTGTGAATAGCAGACTGAAAAACCTAGCAGATTTATAAAGTAAGCAGAAAAATCAAATTCTTAGGCATTTTATAGTTAATTTCCATTTTTTCTTCTTTTCTTTATAGGCCAGAGTAAGAAACATCTTTGTATAAAGGACACAAAGTAAAACTCATCTTGCCACAGAAGTCCACAAGTGGCTCTTTCAATTTGTAATCTGTTTTAACTATAACCGCCTGATTTTTGGGTTTTACTCACCACTATAAACCCAGTGTCCAAAAGTGTCCAGAACATAGTGAAGACTATAAATGTCTATCGTGTGGCTACCTGCTAACCATACCAAAAATCCTCACAGCTCACCACTTTATTCTTTTTTCAAAGAAGGAATACTTTTCAATTTTTTCAAAGTCACCAAGTAGTGCCACAGAGAGGTGAACATGCAAGGAACCAAGTCCCTCAGTGGAACAGAAATGGCACATCAATGCAGGCAAAATTTTCTTCGTTGGTATAGATAGACTTGGCTTCTCTTTTCTTGTTCACACCCCCTTTCAAGATCTTTTAGTAGAACTGATCTACCAGTTGTGTTTGCCTTAGAGATTAGCAGTCTTACTTGCTACTAGTACCATAAAATGTTTGCTTTTCCCCCCCTTCAACTTATGAACACCATTACAACTGAAGAATTTGAAATTTCTAAGTTTAAATACTAAGGTGCTTGTTATAATATCTCCACATGATTTATCTTGCTTCCCCGCTGTCACTGCTATTGTAAGCAATCAGATTTCATCATGAGTGGAGAAATTAGTAATAGTCTAAATAATACTCAACATTTTTTTCTTAATTGTTGTATAGTAAATTTAAAACAGAATTTTTCAGTAAATGTTTTCAATACCAGCTGGAACTCAACTAACCTGCCTCTTAATCTCACGGTCCATTAGTAGATATATTTTTTGTTCTGAGCCAAATGTGCTCTCAGCTAGCTACCTATATAGTTACGAATATGGTTATCTTAAATGATACACCAGTTTTCAACAGGCAAAGCACTAAGCTCTGTCTGTCTATTCAATTCAGAGCTTTTTCAGTCCTCAAGGGTCACTGCCACTGAATTGCTGAAACCTGATTACCCCTCAGTGAGAAAGTTCTCTCTTAAAAGGCAGAAAAGATTTTTTCCATTCTATACTATGTATACTATATCTACTATGTATTAAAATTATTAAAGCATATTTTAAACTAATGATTATAGGTTACATTCTTAAATCAATCTAAATCAACTTCTAACTCATCAAAACCCCAAAGACAACTGAGAAGAGATAGCTTAAACATCTCACCTATTAGGAGTTATTTTACTGAAACTGGGGGTGGAGAGCGAGATCTTCTAAAATTCTCTTTACTCTCCAAATCCAATTAGAAATGGAAAAACAGTGCAAACCCAAAGACATACAACAAAATAACAAAGTCATCCAGAGCAATACCACCACAACATTTTGACCATCCTAGTTATCTCTAATCTCCCACCCTCACATTGTCACTTTCCTTCATTCTGCAGGGTTTTTATTGTCTCCCAATTTTACTTGCACATATTACCAAATTTCATTTTTATTTCTTTCCCTCCCCCCTACCAAATTTCATTTTTAAATGGCATACTTTTGACAGTGCCAGAACATGAAATTCACTGTATCATAAGCACAGTGCAATAAGCGATGCTCAGCATCATGACCCTGAGTTTTAGACAAGGTTACTTCTCTCACGTTTCTAAATATTAAGCAAAAAAAGTATGCAGTGTTTTTTAAAGAAAGATTTACATCAAGATATTTTTAAGTTAAGGTTCAGTTCTGAGGAAAATAGTTTACCCAGAATATATAATTTCCTGGGAAAATTAAAAACTAATACATTCTTTTACTAATTTTCTTCTTCATTCTCTTAAATACTATTCCATATTTCTACCCCCCATCTAAAAATCAGTTCTTCATCTTCAAAGCCACTTCTTCCACAATTAAGTTACCATCTAGGACAGAGTATGATAAGTACCTAATATATAATATCTATTTCTCTGCTGCTTTTGATTACATTTTCCTCACTTTTTATCTTTTAATTTTAAATCTTTTTGATATCAAAACCACAAACCTTTCCTGGGAACCGCTGGCGCATAATAAACTGCCAGGAAAGGGTTCTCTATATAATCTGTGGACCATGCTCTTCCTTTCTTAGTTCAGCATAACTTTGAATAATCAATTTCTATTCAGACCCCCTAAAGTGTTATAACAAACAAACTCGGTTCCTTTCTTCAGCACCTGACAAGAGATCCCGGCATATTACAGGCACTCAGCAAATTATTAGCTGAGAATGAAAAAGGAGATACATTTCCAAATTAAAAAGTACCCTGCTCTATCCCATTCAATTACTAAGGAGTTTGTGTGACCTATAAAATGTATACAATACTGGATTAAGACAATTGCTATATTTCACTGAAAAGGATTCTACAAGTTCATCAATGTTAACTCAACAATCCTCATAAAACCTTCTGTGGGGAAAATGTTACCTTCTAACCAATCACCTAAGAAGTCAACAGCAAAGTCAGATGATAATATCTCATTTCTCCAGAAACTTCTGGTATCAAGACTTGAGATTTGCACAATCACCTTGGGCTCTTTAAAGTATATATGGAAATCCCCTGAATAAGAATCTGCAGGGATGAGGCCTGGGTATTTATTTTTAATTGGAAAAGCTCTATAGGTGACTCTAATGCAGAGCCAGGAGGGAGAACCATGAATGCACTGAAACTGAATTAGGCCTACTGAGACTTTTCATACATTTCTAGTAACTTTAGTTGTCTGTAGTCCTAATCCACAACAAAACAAAAACAGATTCAAAGAGGCAATGGAATGTGATGTTAAGTGGCCACACAGGTATAGCAATGTAAAAATAAATAGCATGTCATTAAGGAATGAGACAGCTAAGCTATTAAAAGCAGTCAAAACCAAAATCTAGCAGTCAGGAATTTTCACTGTTAAGGGGGAAAAAAGTCCTAATGTCTCAGTCCTCCCAGAGGGCTTCATTACAATACAAGGGGGTTTGTCTGTTTTTAATGTTCACAACATCAACCCTAAGACTTTAAAGCTGAATCATGTTCGAATACACTATATTTAAAAAGAAAATCCATTAAAGATTTCCAAAAAAGTAGTTAAAATAAAATTAAACTTGACATTTAAAAATAGGGATGACCTTTTATTAAATGAAAAATTTATTTGTATAAAACAGCTTATCACATGATAGAATCAAATAACTTGACCACCCTCTTATTCTAAAGACATGATGCCAAATGTATTGTGGCAAATTTCAAATATCAAATGTACCTTAAGAAGACTTGGCTTTGCCATTGGACAAAGGCTCAGAAAGCAATTACTGCTTAAAACCCATGGCAGTTAAAGATGACCTAACAATACAGTATTTCTCACCACAAGGCTTATCCTGAAGGGAGCCACATTTATATGGGTATATAAGCTCTGATATTTTTACTAGAAGTCTATCACATTACTTTAATTTCTTGTTCAGATCCCCAATCTAACATGACACAGTGGTGACATATATTCAAAATACTCTAATGGCAAAATTCAAGATTTGAGAAAGGTATTCGGGGGAGAGTGGAGTCCTCTGGCATAATAAATTATAATTCTCTGAGAAACCTTAAGTTGTTTTTAAGGAATTTAAAACAAGCAACACATTGATTAATAAACATGAGATAAGCTTTTCTTGTTCTTCATATAAAAGTGTAGAAAGAGTTACTTTAATGAAATATCGGAAGTGTAAATTTTTAAACATATGCCTGAGAAAATATAAAATAACTCACTGGGTATGCCTCAAAGTTCTAAGACTCCAGACACAAAAACCATTCACCTGGAGACTGCATACGTGTGTTAACAACAGTCCACAACCACTCTCTGTCCTGTTACATGTTAACATGTCAGAACAATTTAAGAATTGTTTTTGTTCTTCTCACACCCCTATCTGCCATATATTATTTCTGGTCATTTCACCTGCCTAAGAATTCCCTGAAAAGACTGTCCCAAAGTATTTTCTTATATACAATATACTTGGAATAGGCCAAATCTTTCATCGAGCAACTACATAGATATATAAAGACTTAAAACCCTTAGATTATTATAATACATTATAAATGAATTTAACTATCTCAAATAGACAAGCAAAACAGCTTAAACTCTATAAAAATCTGATGTGGATTTATAAACACCTAGCACATACCACCAAATAACACCCTACTAGAAGATAATAATCTGAGTTTTAGTCAGAATTTCAGAATACATTACACTCAAAAATAGTACCAGAAAAACATGGCAATAAAATATGAAGGAAAATGTAGAACTTACATATATTATGTTATTTTTAGACTTGAAACAGATTCCACATAGATCAGCAGTGAACCCAAAGTAACATAATCAATCACTATTACAATTTTAAAAATTAATTTTTTCCTCTAAACCTGGTATTGTTCTGTAATGAAGAACTTGATTTATTCTTTAATGTAAAAAAACAAACCAACCAATGAAAAATATCATATAAATTGCTCAGAAGAACATTAACCCCAAGAAAAGGGAAGGAGGGCGGGACAGAGGGATTTCACAAAACTTAAAATATAAAACGCCAATAATGGAAAAAAAACCAAGATTAGTATAACCAATATTTACAGAAATTAAAACTTAAACTATACTGAGGCACCCATCTTAAGCTACCAAAAAAAAAGCAAAACTCTCATACTCAAGGCTGATGAGGGTATAGACAGACACACTTAGGTCCACTTCAGGAAGCAATGTAACTGGTACAACATTTCTGGAAGGTGCAACTGCAAGAAACTTGTAAAAAAATTCATGTCCTTTGATTCAATAGTGCATGAATATGTATATACAAATATTTAAGTGCAGCATGATTTAAAATGAAGGTAAAGAGAATAAAATTTTCCAACAAAGCAATCACTGAATATAATGTGATATATCAAAAATAATCTATTATGCAGCTAATAAAACCCTTACAAAAACCATTAATGACTTGAAATGTAAAAACAGTTTACACACACTTTAAGTGTTAAAAATATGGAAATTCCATCCATCCATCCATCCAAATTTGAAGATAGAAAAGGAATATGACAGAAAATTATGGTAGTTATCTCTAGGAAATGTGACTATGGGTTATTTCTGTTTCTATATTTTTAAAGCTTTTCTATACTAGTCATATATCCCAAAAGCAGTGGTATATTAGTAAATGTTTAACAACAGATTAAGGAGTCAGGGGGTTAAAAACGATTTGCTGATTTCCATGATGTAAATATTCTCACGATGGCTAATTTTAAGCTACCAATGGTTTTAGCAGGCTTGCAAAATTCCTGAAAACTCAGCAATCAACTCTAGCAAGCCCGTATAAGCTGGCTCCAGCACACCTCTGAGCCCAAAAATATATAAATAATGATAATTATGATTTAAATCACAAAGGCAAAAACAGCCATCAAAATAAAAAGGTCATGCTATAATACAATCTTTTTAAAAAAGCCTTCCTTACTATATATGAGAAAATAAAACAAAAGTTGAAAAATAACTATATGTAAATACACAGCACAGACTTCCTAGGAATACCAAAATGTTACATATAGTCAACTAATACTGTACTGACGTGGAAAAAAAAGGCAAGCAATTCCTAATAGTGTTTATTGGGTCACTTGTTTACTAATCCATTCATTCACCCCAAAAGTATTTACTGAGGGTCTATTTTGCCTACTATCCCAGGTTCTTGGGATACAGCTGTGAATAAAATAAAGTCCCTGCCCTCATGGAGCTTACATTCTATTCTAGCACAGTTATCCCACAACATTTTCCTGATGAATAATTGGTACTGAATTTTCCTAAAACCATAATAAAATAAGTAAACCTAATATGAACGAGAAGCAGGGCACTGCATACCATCCATCAGTTTTTAAAGAAAAGATAGAGGGAAAGAAAATTTGTTTTTAGAAAAAAGACATGGTGAAAAAGAAATGGAAAAGCTGAAAGCAATGGCCCACCACTCCATGAAGGCATGCATTCCTTCCTCCTGACGCAACCTTCCAACTTTGATAGGCCACGTTAGGCTTTACCTCTGCCTTATGCTCCAGCCAGGGTCCTGCTATAAGACTGGGATTATAGTTTAGGGTTAATAGGTTGGGGACCACCACCTTAATATATTCTCTTACTTTTGCAGGAGAACGTTGCTTCCGTTTCTTCTTTTTCTGTAAGTCTACTGGCTCTCTGATTTGTTTTTTGTCTCTCATCAGTTGCTCAGACACATCAGTAAAAGTAATTTCCTGCTTTACACTTATCTGTTAAAAAAAAAAAAGCCAATTTTACAAGTAAACACATGTCCACTGCGACAAAAAGCCACTGCATGTTTTATCCCTTGCTAAAACACATAGGTGCTCCCATGATTGTATGTGTGTGCAAGTAAACAGTGTGTTGAAGAATTTATTAATAGGCAACTGAAAAATAAGAATCAAGAGTACATAAACTGAGGGATAAACTAAGATTTTACAAACATCTATCTGGAAAAAATGGTTAAAGAAGTCTTAGGAAAAGATGATTATAAGACCTACCAGAATAAAATAAAGAAGTCAAGACAGTAACATCAATTTCACTCCCACATTTAAGGAAACTGATGCTGAAGTTAAAAGCATAAAAAAAGGTTAAATTCCAAAAGTTAATAAAATATTGGGGAATAAAAAGCGTATTTAGACTTCACGGTGAGCTTTCTCTCAATTTACAAAATACCAGGAAAACAACACAAAATGCTAAAAGCTAATCTCACATCAAAATAAAGGGAAGACAAACTAACAATGAAAATTTAACACTTTTTTTCTGGCCTCTACAACAAACCATCACCAAATATGTGTTTATAGAATTGCATACAATTTTAGGCTGCTACTATGTACAAGACATAATGCTACCTATACAATAAATACAGAAATACTATAGAAACATTAAGATGTCAACAATGTTACCCATCTTAAGATCTCAGTTCTCACAGTTGCTTGTCCTAGAAAAATTAAAAATACACCAAGGTTCTACTACCACTAATGGCAACATCAATTCTCATTAGAATTGATGGTGCTCAGTCATCCACTCCTCGTTGCTACATTTTCAATCTATCCTTGAAATGAAAACACAAGAATCTTAAAACTAAGAAACCTTGAACAGGCTATGAAATACATGAAAAATCCTTGCCCTTTCTGCCATGTGAGGACACAAGGAGAAGCCTGCAACCGGGAAGAGGCCCCTCACCCTACCACGGCTCACACCCTGATCTCGGACTTCCAGCCTCCCAAACTGTGAAAAATAAATGTATGTTGCTTAAAGCTTTAAAAAAAGTCCTTGCTAATAATCCAGGAAGTACAATGAGCTAAAGGCTACATTTTAAAAAAATACACTTAAAAAAAGGTTCAAAAAAGATCATAAACATCTTACAGATTCCTAGTGTCAAGTTGGGAGCACAGCTGTGTAGAAGGGGTTCATAAGGAAAATGCAACATAAGCCAGGGATTTTAGAGTGACAAAATAAGGAACTGGAAGTTTTCATAAATTCCTGAAATGTAGCCATTATGAGAATCACAAATCAAGGAGAACACTGGCACAAAAACATGATGTAAATGGTTATTCAGCTAATAATTCTTTCTATCAGGTTACAGAAAAGTATGAGTGACCACTCTTTTTGGCTCCTTTTGGTATTATTATTTGGAACATAAGACAGAATGGTAAAATTACCACCAACAAGGCTTTGGAATACAGATATGTCACCATCTCTGAAGTGATGTTTACTAAAATACAACCTCTTGGAACTGGGTATGAGACAAGGAGAAATGATAATAGGCTATATAAGCAGCTATTGAATTGCTCTGTCCTATGTCACAGGAGCATCAAGAAGTTAATTCCAACATATTTGTCCAACATATCTGTCAGCTTACAAATTGCAAAGAAACCATGAAAATGTAGCATGCAGCAAGAAAAACCAGAGCAACACTTTTTAGCAAACGTGTCAAGTGGAGTGTAAGACAAATGCACAAGGAAGTTCTGCAATCAGCAGCTACTCACAAACAAGGAAGAGCCTTTATATGCAAACAGAGAAAAAGATTAATGTACCTGAAACTTTTAGTTATTTCCACGTATATGGAAAGTGTTCATATTAGTACTTGCATTTTCAAATATAAGGTACACTTTTAACATTGTGAAAGCACAGACCCAAAACCTCAATGGATCAAAGCATTATGAATGTCAAGAGGCATATAAGCAAATTGATATTTTTAGAATGCTCCATAATATTACTCATAAATGGAATAAAGTAATTTGCTCTCTATATAAAACCACACACTAAAGTATATGATCCAACCTAAGGTGCTTGAAAAGGTGTTAGTAAACCCAAAAACATAAAGCGATGGGTATGAGAAAACTTAAGTCTTCTCTGGCTTAAAGAAGACTATAATAATCTACAAAAACACGAAAACTTCTTAAGCATGACAAAAGAGACACTAATTCATCCATAAGTTATCTACTCTTTCCTTGAGAACAGTCTTTAAAAGAAAATCAAGTTCTCAGTGTTACTATTCACTTAAACTGAAATTAATCAAAGCATCTACAGATATATATTTGAAAAGATTGGTTTGCTGGAGTTTTGAAACATTTATTAGAGCATCAAGAAAATCAATAGACTAGGAAGTATAGCAACTTTTTAAAAACAAAAACAAAGCCTGTTTCTTTCCTTATCACTTAAATTTTACCATTTCACCTAGTCCCATGTGCAACCTCATGCCTAAGTTTGAGACGAATTTCAATGCTGCTCTCCCACAACCAAACCAGAAATCCTGTAAACACTTTCAATCACCCTATCCATCCTTCTTTCACAAGATCTGACTAAACCTAGACATTTTTCCACCGAAAACTCTTAAGAACCCTGCTCATCCACCCATCAAAGCTCCCTCTGGGCCTCCCACTTTTGAGACGGCGGAAGCTATCAGTCATGATTCCCATGTCATATCCACCTTCTATATTCATCTAACTTCTTCCCCAGCATCCTTAGAAGATGTAGAGTCCTACAGTGTCACGCTTCCTCTCCCCTTGCCACCATCCAAGCTAGTTCTTTCCTGCAAGTTCTAAAATATATCTCTTACTATTCTGATGTTTTCCTCATTTTTGATCTTTATTTTCCCAACCTTAAAGAGGCCTCTATATTTTGAAAAAATATTTCCCTTGATTCTGGTAACTCAAGCCCAGAATCCAGAATGATTCTTTCTTTTTCAAGACTTATTTCACTATTTCTGGCCTACAAATGAACCAACTATTCTACTTTTATATTTAACTATTTCATGTACCTATATATTATCTTGATATCTGAAAATAAGATATTCTTCTTTTGATTTCCCATTAACAGTTTTCACTCACTCGCTTATTCAACAGCTTTTAAGTGCGTGCTATGTGTTAAATTCAGTCAGTCTAAAATAATACAACAAAAACTTTAAATTTACTGAGATTGTAATACGTGCAAAGCATAATTCTAGATACTGAGAACACATTCTAAATATAAGGTCTCCTTTTCAAAAGTCTTAAAATCTGTAGATGGAGAAATAAAAAATTAAAAAAAAAAAAGCTAATTCAAGACAACAAATGTCAGGCTCAACCTAAATGAATGGTAGAAGGAATAAGGGCAGAAATCAAAGTGAGAGATTTGACATACAGCAGAAGACTTCATGGATGAAACAAGAGACTTATGCAGGACAGCAAGTTTATCATATATACCCCCCCTTTTGTTTTTTTCTTCCAAACCTGCTACTCTTCTCAAGTTCTTTCTTCCAGACTCAATAATATTAGTAAGTGATATAACAAATGTAAATTTACCTAAAATGTTGCCAGACACCTATGTAATGAATAAATATCTGGTTTGGTTTGCAAATTTTGGGATTCCCCTCTACCCCCAACCAAATAAGAAGGTGGCTCCTTAGAATCATTTGGAATTCTTCCTTCTCTTCATTCTCAATATCCTACATCCATACCCAGCAGCATCCAATTCACTCCAATTAACCTCACCAACCTCACTGCTTTAGGGAATTATCATCTCCCCAGTGTGTTCCTCTATGTATAAGTTAATATAAAGCTGTTTTCTGGTCATTTCCCCAGTCTACAATAGCTCCTTGTTGTCCGTGGTATCAATTACATCCTCCCCAGCTCAGCTTTCAAGGTTCTTTATTATCTACTTCACAGAAAAGACCTAGGTCACTTGGCAGAAGTATCTGTCCTTACCAAATCTCCTCTCCATTTCTGGAGCTGCATGTTCCTTTTGATTTTCAATTTTAATTTTTGGTATTCTCATTCATCTTCCCATGACTGCTTGGGTAAAAGGAAGGTAGGTACCTGTGCTTTCCTCTGCTCTGTGCTACTCATTCCATTCCTACCCATCTCCAAGGCTCCGGTGCTTCACTGCCTCTCTAAAGTAATCTCCCTTACTCCACCAGCTGCTTCTCTGCCTAAAATCACACTTAAATTTCCCCTATAAGTTCTTGTGGGCCAAAACTCTTTCAACAATTTGCTCTTATGGCCAAACTTTTTGAAAGATTAATCTATAGTAAGCATATAGACAAAACAACTGCCCCCAAATTTAGAGAAATGGTTATTCTGAGTAAAAGCAGTACACTGCCAAATAAAAAGAATGTTTATCACCAGAAGGAATCTGTTCCAAAATACTGCCCAGAAAACAAGTTGAATCAAGGTGACCACAAGTATAACAAGTGTTTAAATATAAAACGAAAGATATAACATAACTAACTGTACAGCAAACATATTATCTAAAGAAAGAATTTTAGGACTATTTGGGAGTATTCATGGTGTCCAGAAAAAAGGGAAATTTAAGACCAAGCATATTTTCTCTCCCTCTCCCTCTCCGCGTGTGCACATGTATATTTCCACAGTGGTTTTGGCAAGAACAGTTAGATGTAACCAGTCAAGAGGAACATTTCTAATTCACAGTTCACCAAACCACAGAACAGGGCAAGGAGGAGGGGCAGCACACTGATGGACAGGCCTGTCTGTGAATCATGAACCATAACCCTCCCTCTGCCTGAACCATGTTTGCATACAAAAATTTGAAAGACATTACATTTGTCAGAGTTTGAGAAAATCCATAGCTATCCTTTGATTTCTGAAGAAGTTCAGGGATCCACAGTTCACAAAACAAACATTGCAGTCCACTCCCTATGATATTTCTCACTATGAATTTGCATTTGGGTAACCATATCACCGTCTTATAATTTAGATAACTATAAGATGAAGTAGACAAAGTGGTC